ATAAAGTAGGGAAACAGGTTGTTTTTTTTAAATGTAATTTATTTATATTATAAATATTTATATTATATAGTAAAAAATAAATGTGGTGATTAAATACCACCAAAAGAAAGCTCTATCTGTCCCTAAAAAATGGTATAAAATTAATTTCAGTACAGCGTTGCATGACAATGTGTCAAAGTAGTAGGCATTTGCAAGCTTCTTTCTCAATTTCCAAGAAAAAAGTAAACAATACTTACAGCAGACCCCTTTCTTGCCCTCTCACTTAGGGCTGGTGACAACACTCAGCCCTCCTGTGGGATCCCTGAGGATCCTAAACCTTGCAAGAGTGCACTCCTGCACAGTGCATACGATTTGGGGGTCCTCAGCTTTCCTAGGATCCCAGTGGGAAGTTTAGTGAATCACTGGTGCCTGGAAGTGTAGGCCAGAAGCTGGAGTCTACTGTGAGTATCTTTTTTTCTTTTTACCTTTTCTCTTATTCTTTTTTTATGGTTTAAAGTGTATTTCCACTTGTGCAGTCAAATGTGAGAAATCCCCTCTGTATGTTTGTTAGGTGTTTCCATTCCCACAGCATGATGAAAAATATATATGTTTTATGTTTCTTACCTTTTTTAGATATTTTGTTCCAGCAGCCAAAGTAGCCGAATCCAAGTTTTTCTGAGCAACTTCAGTCATCTGTCCTTATAGAAAGACTTAGGACTGAAAATTGTGGATTGTTTTTCTCTCTTAAAAATCAAGCAGAAGCCAGGCTTTTAATCTTTAACCCTTTGTTAGGGCAGTTACATAGTTAGTCAGGTTGTCCATCGAGTTCAACATATAGAGATATGGAAAAAAAAAACAAAAGCCTAAACAGAATGGTATGCCCACAAATACCCACTGTTGATCCAGAGGAAGGCAAAAAAAACCCTATAAAGCATGGTTCAATTTGCTCCAACAGGGGAAACAATTCCTTCCTGATCTCAAAAAGCAATCGGATATTCCCTGAATCAACAATCTCTGATGCTTAATATACCTATAAGAACTCAGTATCCTGTAATATTCTGTGCATTTAGGAATACATCCAGATTTTTTTTAAACAATTAACTGAACTAGCTAGAACTAGCTCCCAGGGGAGTCTATTCCACATTTTCACAGCTCTAACTGTGAAGAATCCTTTCCGTATGCAAAGGTTAAACCTCTTTTCCTCCAGACGCAAAGAGTGCCCCCTTGTCCTTTGCAGTGACCTTAAAGTGAATAATTTGGCACCAAGCTCACTATAGACCATGTATGTATTTATACATGGTGATCATGTCCCCCCTTAATCGCCTCTTCTCCAGAGAGAACATATTCAGTGCAGCTAATCTTTCCTCATAGCTGAGCTCCTCCATGCCTCTTATGAGTTTAGTCACCCTTCGCTGCACTTTTTCCAGTTTCACCACATCCTTTTTGTGAACTGGTGCCCAAAACTGAACTGCATATTCCAGATGAGGTCTTACTAATGCTTTGTACAGGGGCAGGATTACATATCAATCTCTGGAGTCTCTACCTCTTTTAATACAAGAAAGTATTTTACTTGCTTTATAAACTGCTGCTTGACATTGCATGCTATTATTGGGTCTATGGTCTAACAGTACACCCAGATATTTCTTCATCATTGACTACCCCAAACATACTCCCCCTAGAGTGTTTGATGCATGCATGTTTTTAGTACCCAAGTGCATAACTTTACATTTATCAACATTAAACCTCATTTGCAAAATAGATGACCAATCACACAGTGCATTCAGATCTGCTTGTAGGTTGGAGACATCCTGTAAGGACTGTATTCCACTACATAACTTGGTGTCATCTGCAAACACAGAAATAGTACTTTTAACCCCCAACTCTATGTCATTTATAAGTAGATTAAACAATAAGGGACCCAGCACTGAGCCTTGGGGGACACCACTAACAACCTCAGACCATTCAGAGTATGAATCATTGATCCCCACTCTCTGAATACTGCCTTTAAAGGAGAACTATGGGTTTAGAGTTTTTCCCCATAGTTCTCCTTAGGGTAAGTGGAGGAAACAAACTAGCGTCCTCCCGTCACCCTAAGCTCAGTATACCGCGAGCTACAGCAAACACAGAGTGACAGCTGGCTTTGCCTATCTAGAGGCAGAGCCAGTTGTACGCGCCCCCTCCCCCGTCCGTTCCGCCAGTCAGCGCTTTAGGATCGGAGCGTGGAGAATCCAGTCCCTCCCCTGTCACGACAGAGAGCCGTGACAGGATCGAGAAGTGAGCGATGAAAAACACTCACCTCATAGTTCTGCTTTAAGCCAGTTGTCTATCCAATTACAGATTGAATACTCTACCTACTGACCTTAACTTATACATCAGCAGCATGTGGGGAACTGCTGACTATTGCTTATATTATTTTCAAGCAAAAACAATTGTATTTGATCCTTGATCAAACTTTCAAGTATCTTCCCAACTGTTGAAGTTAAACTTACAGGTCTGTAATTACTTGCTAAAGACTTTGATCCCTTTTTAAAGATAGGCACCACATTGGCTGTACGCCAATCCATCGGTACCAAGCCAGTCATTAGAGAGTCTCTAAAAATTAGATACAATGGCTTTGAAATTACACAGCTCGATTCTTTGAGGACACGTGGGTTTAAGCCATCTGCTCCACGTGCTTTGTTCACCTTAATTTTGTATAACTGTTTCTGGACAATATCAATAGTCAGCCATTGTGGTTCAGTAGAAGCTATGGCACTGCTATCCCCATTATGGACTAGAGTTACATCCTGTTCCTTAGTGTGCACAGAGCTGAAGAAAGTATTTAATATATTTACCTTCTCTTTGTCCCCAGTTACCAACTCTGAGTTATCTTTTCATGGGCCTACATGCTCAGACCTGATTTTTTTTTATGTGTTCAAATATTTTTTATTAGTGTTCAAATATACTTTACAAGTATAATGGAATGAGCCAGCACTGTACAAGTCGGGTTAAACCCCTTGCAACCCCTCCTAACACTACAAATAAGCAGAAGCAAGTAGAAATGTTAACACAAGGACAAGAAATCCTAAACCAAGTAAAAACAATTTAAACTGCAAGAAGCATTTTTTAACATATTTATTGTGAATGGGAACATATAGCAAGTATAAAATAGATGTATAACATTTAATTTGCACACATTTGTGTGCCACGTTTGCCACGTGCCCCCATTGATTTTAATGGGTTTATAGTAGGGCTGGTAATGATTAAAATTTTCGTGTTCGATTAATCAAATTTTTTTTTAATCGATTAATTATAACGCACATACAGATCCAACTACATTGGCCTATACACATACAGCACAGCAATGAAGTAATAAAATGAACTAGGATCCAGCACGTTATTAATCTCACGTGCCCCACTCAATATGGCCGCCGCTTAAGTGGGGCAACTCAGAATAATAACGTGCTGGATTAGTGAACTAACAGCACAATACTTTTGTTTTCATTAAATAACCTAAACTGCCAAATGTTACAATACATTGCATTTCTTATATATATGGATATATATGGAAATATGAAATATGTAAGTGTTCTATAAAGTATTATTGCAAGCAGTGCAATACGCATATACAGCACTATGCAATCGAGATTTTACACAATGTCTAGACAAAAGACTTGAGGGATATCAAGGGGTTAAGAGTCTGGTTCCCAATGGGGGAGGTGCATCCAGATAATCAAAGCAAAGTCATTTTCAGCTTAGCAGTTGATGGGTCATTTATTACATCTTTAGATAGTAATGGTTTTAATCTCAAAGCGATCACAATCTGTAAAGCCCCCACCAACTCCCTCCTCATTGTGTTCCCCGAGAGCCAGATGTGCCTTTTCTGCCTGGTCATTGATGTGTTTGTTGATGATCCTCTGTGTAATCTTTTGTATGTGTATGTGTATAGGCCAATAGGCCTTGGCTGGCGCTCGTGCGTCGGCTAACGAAGGGAAGGGGGGAGGAGTCCGGTGACGTCACTGGATCTCCGATGAAACTCACGGAAGACCCGGAAGCCGGCGGAGAGGTGAGTACCGATCAAAAAAAAATTAATCGATCAAAAAAATTAACGATTAATCGAGGAATTAATTGTTAATTTCCGCACCACTAGTTTATAGATGCGCTGCAAAAAAAGCTAATTCAGCATTTTCTGCATTTGGTGTTTTTTGAACGTGGAGCAAAAACACACATCTTGCTGGCCGTGTTTAGGGTGCCATTAAGAATAAATGAGCATGGACGTTTACGTGAACGCACTGGAAACGCACACGTTTTTACGCACACTTTGCCGCGAATGCACAGGTGTGAACCAGGCATAAAACAGAGTATCAGGGCAAGCTAATTCTGCAGGAAGCTAAAACCTTTACACATCAAGGAGCAGCATCTATTGCAACTGATTCAATCAGCATTTGAAATAGCCTAAAGACATTATGACTTTAATATCACTTTAATCAATTTTACAGCAAGGTTTGCTTATGTATTTATCTATCCAAAAGAGTCTCACGTATCATAATGTTATCAGGTTGGAGCCTGATAAATGTGTGTTTGCTGCATGTTGTTTTTTTGAATTGTATATTTCATTCATTTTTTTTGACTCATTTTTATTTTCCTTTTTTTCCAGCAGTCTAGAAGATCACGTTGCCTGAGACATCTTCCTAACAATCAATGCTCCCATGTCAATGATACATTTCAATTCAATGGACATTCAAGGAAAGGAAGAAAGGGGTTGTTAGTTTAGCTTGGGCAAATGCATAAAAATAATTTCTGGTCTCATGTCACGTTGTGCCATTCTGGGCTTTCTTATTCCATCCTCCTTTAGAGGGCTATTGTGAGGACAGGAATGTAAAAATCATTTTACCTTATTTCTCTCCCCCTCCATCCTTCCCTTACAACATTTCCCTCCCTTGTTTCCTTATCCCTAGCCACAGTTCTTTTTATTTGCCTTTTTCAAATAGAACTGCATATTTTTGTAAACATTACTTTGTACCTACTTTTAACCAGTTATCTCTATTTACTTTATTATTTCAACTGTCATATGATACATTATCAGAATCATTTTGTGTCTCTTCAGTCACCATGACATTGATTTTCCAATAGCACTTCTAATTAATCCCAAACATTTGCCTGTCCAGCATTCTGTCTGTTTTATTCCTTTACCCACACTCTCCATGTGGTCCCTGCTTTACCTGTATTCCCTCCTCTCCCTTCCCCTCCGTTCCTTTTCCCTTCAGTTCTATGGAATACCAGGTCAATGGGTCCGTTACTCTCGCCCAACTGTAGCTAGTGGTAATGGGGGGTGGGGAGAAGACCTCGCTTTCAGAATTAGAACAAATGCCAGCCGTGGCCTCCTCCTTTATCAAGATGATGAAGGTGACTGTGACTTTCTTGAGTTAGCTTTGGATGGTGGACGCCCACGCCTGAGGTTCTCCATTTCTTGTTCAGAGCCTGCTGTTGTACGTCTGCCTCGGGTGGTATCAGATGGTCTTTGGCATGGCATAGTAATTGGCGGCAATGGCCGTGAGGGTTGGCTGACTGTAGATGGAGAAAGAGGAGTAGCTGAAGTTCGGTCAAAGCGCAGAGAAATGACACTCCGCAGTGACCTTTTTGTGGGTGGTCTTCCATCTGATCTACGTTTATCAGCCCTTACTTTGGGTGGAGCAAAATATGAACCACCTTTTCTAGGTGAATTGGAAGGGCTAAGATTGGGTGGTAGGTCAGGACAGGTACTAGCCAGTCAGGGGGTAGGAGGAACAGAAGAGGAGGAAGACAGGGAGGTAGACCGAGAAAGACCCAATTCATGTGGAGGAGCAAACCCATGTCTCAATGGAGGAAAATGCAGAGCTGAGGTGGAAGGAGACATATGGTGTGACTGTCGGGACACTGGGTACCATGGAGAAAATTGCTCTGAAGGTTAGTAATATGGTTTTATCTGTTATCTACTTTATTCCTTTTCAACCAAAATGTTTACTTATTGTGCTGAAACAATGATATTTACAATCATGAAGAAACTTTTTTGATTATTGCCTTTTGATTATCCATGCTTTCATTTCAGTCATGCTTTCTCAATTGAAATATCTTTATCTGCCCTCAATCCCCAGAATAAATCAGATTAAAGAGCAATAAATTATTCAGACTATGACGTGAACTAAGATTACCATATTTTCAAAATGAAATCCGGAAACACCCTACTGACCACACCCGCTTTTAACCATGGCCACAAAATCACACCCTTCTTTATAGCATGCCCTAAAACAATGCCCTTGGTACCTGCCTTGGGCAGCAAAATAATGCTATGTGCTACGTGCACCATGGTGAATTTTGGATGCAGCCAAATTGTGGTAAAAGTGGGAGTGGCTGAAAGGGTATGGCTAAATAAAACCTGAGCCTTGTTTGCTTTGGGTGAAGAGTGTCTAACGCAAAGAGCGCAGATGTCAGGAGTACATAACACAAGGAGTCAGGAGTACACAACACATGGTGTGCAGGGGTCAGAAGTGCATAAAACATTGAGTATAGGGGTAAGATGTGCATAATACAGAGTGCAGGGGTCAGGAGTGTGTAGTGCAGCATGTGTACACAGTGTACACAGTGTACACAGTAGAACCAAAAATAACTTCAATAACCTCACCATTCATTCCAATACAAATCCACCCCTCCTTACATCAGAGTCCCCCCTTACATCAGCGTCCCCCTTACTGTACATTAGAGTGGCCTTTGAAATCAGTGCCTCCCTTACATCAGAGTCTTCATAGTTGTCCCTTACATCAGTGTCCCCACTTACATCAGCACCCCCCTTACATTAGTGTCCCCCCTTACATCAGAGTCCCCCCTTTAATCAGAGTCCCCATAGTTGTCCCTTATATCAGAGTCCCTCTTTACGTCAGTGTCTCTGGAACTTTAATGTAAGGCAGGACTCTGGGGACTCTTATGTAAAGAGTAAAGAGGGACACTGGGAATTCAGTTCCCAGAGTCCCCCCTTACATCCGTGTCCACAGAGTTCCACCCTACTTGAGAGTCCATGCAATCCTCAGGGAGGCAGAAGCTGGGTGGTGGAGGGATAGAGGAGTCAGTGCACTGACTGAAGGAGGCAGAGCACTGAAAGTTCCATCCTCCTTCTTTCTCTGATTGGGAAGAGCAGGTCATTGATTGGATGCTAGAATGTCAGGCTCTCTCAGCAACCAACCACCAGTGGCATCATTCAACCTGCTGTCATTATTCAACCCTCTGCCTCTGATGGTTTGTTGCTAGACTTCCAGGTGGTCCTAGCAACCAATTACCAGTAGCGAGGGATGGAATGATGGCAGTTGCAGTCAGCAGTCTCTGATGACTCTGTGAGTTGGTGAACTTTTGCTGACCCATGGAGCAGTGTCCCCCTTCATGTGCTTCACCCTTGATATGCCACTGCCACTGCTGTCGGGTATGGTTCTGTGGATTCCTTAAAACAGTGACTGTCCCCAGGAAACGGCATGGATGGTAACTATTAGGTAATGATGTCCTTTTGCTTTGCATAAGACTGCCAATGTAGCATGTTTTTACATAGTGGAGTCTGTATGGGGAGGTATTTAGACAGCTTATAGGAAAAGGGGGTCACATGGAGAGTAGATATTTGATGTTGGTTTTGCACTGAATGTACAAGTGACACAAGAAGCTGCAGATATGCATAATGAATAATGGTATCAACTATGTTAATTATAAGACTGGCTGAATATTTCGGCAGATAAATCAGTTCACATGCATGAATTTCAGCTGTGGTTTTAGCTGGTTTAGCCGGGGTTTTGCTTGGAGAGATCTAAAGTGGGTTAATGTGACATAACTTTATGTCTGTTACTGAAAAAGGTAATTTTACACATTTATAAAGATTCAAGGGGTTATTCACTAAAGAGCCATTCGGCTAATCCTTCAGCTCGCTTTGGCTGCTGTACGCGCTATTCTCAATAGTGCGTACATCAGCCGAAAGCAGCCAAAATACACAGCCAAGCCGAACGCACATGCTTTGGATCGGCAAAGCTGAACAAACAGCCAGAGTAGGGAGAATGGTGGACCTAATCCCCACTAGTTGTTAAAAAGTTGGATAAAAAAAATTGCGTGCAGTTCCCCTCCCAATTTAGGTTTGGTAGGATTGTTAGGAGGGACCCCTGATGTAAAAAATAAAATGTGTGAGTTTCCCTTACAAATTCATACCAGGCCCTTTAGATCTGGTAGGAATTTTAAGTGGGACCCCAAAGCCCTAAAATTCCATACTATTTTATCCCTTAATCTGAGCAGTGGCCTGGCAGGGCAGGAAATGGGGGAATGAGCGCGCGGCCCTCACTACCCTGCACCATACCAGGCAACATGGCCTCAACATTGGGAGGGTGCTTTTTTGAACAAAAAACTAAAGTTATTTTTGACAAGTCCTTTATTTAAAAAAAATAAAAGTCTCCAACGATGCAATCTACTGGTCAATCATGTTGTCCAGTGATGTAGATCCTCATCAATCATGCTGAATGAAGCCCCCCTACTAGCCAAAATAAAAAAAGGCCCGCTATCCCGTCCACTACTGCCGAACTCCCGCCGTAAAATGACAGGTTCCAATTCGCTCTGCCCATTTGTTTTCATGCCATGACAGCTCACTGTCTTTAAATGGCATGAAAACAAATGGGTGGCACAAGTCCTCTGACGTCAGATAAGCCCCTCTGCCCGCAGAACCCCATAACCTCTGGGCCAGGCATGAGGACAAGGTGCTTTTCCAGGGGGTCCCTCCCTGGAAAAGCACCCTCCCATTGTCAAGGGCATGAGGCATGGTATGGTGCTCTGCGAGGCCACTGCTCAGATTAAGGGTCTGGTTTTTATTTTAGGGGGGACCCCACGGTTTGTTTGTTTCCCGGTTTGAGTCCCCTTAAAATTCCTACCAGACCCAAAGGGTCTGGTATGATTTGGGAATTTTTTTACAGTAACAGTTTCCATTCTGATCGCTACCGAAAGGAGGTGAACCGGGCTGAATGCAGCTGATGTACGGCTCAAAATAGCCCTACAGGGGTGCAGTGAATAGCCGAAGAGGCTTCCGCTCACTTTACTCCGGCTCTGTTATTTATTCGGCTGCCTTCACCAGCTTAGTGGATAACCCCCTCAATGATGCTTTTGTGGTTAGCAATGTAGTCTTCAATAATCTTGATAATTCTGGTTTCAGTTTGATGTTTTGTGTTTTGTGTGTACCAACTTTGGTTCTTTCATTTCAGTTTCAAATATATCCTGGTAGGTTTATTACAATTATCTCCTGCAGAAAATCTGAAACCAAATACGTATTCTTGCAACATTAAAATAGAGTGGGAAACTATATTTGACCATAGTTGCCAACATTTTATAATAATTTGCAGGAACGCAATCTGTGCATCAAGGTTTACTGTGCTGATATAATCTTGGAAGACCATGGAGCATTATACACCAAATTAGGCCACTATTATTCTAGTATTAAGTTTGAATATAAATACTTTTTATGTCCACATGCTGATCTTATTATATATATAGATCTATAGATCTATATATAGATCTATAGATCTATATATAGATCTATATCTATATATATATATACACACACACACACATACATACATACATAAATACATACA